AGACTGCACCCCCAGGGCTGGATGGGAAATAGCAAGGAGCTGCAGTAGAGTGAAAAAGGGAAAGGAGTACAATTTTAACAGTAGTAATAGGAAATGTCAGCAACACCGACTTGCTGTTCTGACTAAAGAATGTTTTAAAAATAGGAAAATATTTATTTCAGTTTTATTTGAAATGCTATTTTGCTATGAAATTATCAAGATATTTAACAGAAAATTTGGACCTTTTGATAGCACCTTTCTTTGGATAGCATTCTAAATATTATAAATTAAAAAATATTCCTTCTAAGCAACTACACAATTTTTTTCCCAAGCTAAAACAGATATTCCCATGCTTGAAATGCTATTTCTAATTTCTAATTTATTCTTACAGGCTAATTTGCAAAATGAAATTGTTTGGATGATTGGTTTGCAGTAAACATGGTATACTAAATTGGTTTCTAAATTTAGAAAAAGGTTGAGTCTGTTCTTATAACAATCAAGAAATAATGGAAGTATTAATGATAATGAAGCTTCCATAATTAAGAAGTCAAATTCTGAAATAACAAGCAGAAATGAAGGTTAGCAGGTAGCAGTAACATAAATTATAATTCTCTCAATGGTTATTTTTGAGTTCCTTTCATGGAACAACACAACATCCAACATATAACTTACTTAAAAACAATGTATCTACCATTTGTATCATAATTAAGTTCTATAGCCTGAGAATTTAGTACTATTAAACACAAAAAGATATAGGAAATAGTGCATACAATTCTAAGAATCAAAGAAGAAAGGCAAAATTGTTCTTATAGATGCTATGATTTCTATGCCTGGTATATATATATTTTTTAAATTAAAAGTAGTAATCATTGTTATCCATATAAATGCATTCAAGGAAAAAACCTGTTTACACAGCATAGGATTTAAGGCTGAGCTCTAAATTTTAAATACAGTAGACTCCATGTCCTTTCTTGGAGGTTTTTGAGGACTGATTTTTGGTAATATCTCTTTGGCGTAAAATGCTTTATGAAGTCCAGCTTCTCGAAGTGCTAATTCAAAACGAAGTCTAGGGTCAGAAATTATCTGTAGAAATAAAATACAATTTAAACAAGTAGCACTTCAATGAACTGAAGAAAATTTTAATTTCCCATATTTTCTTTTTTTTTTTTTTTTTAAAGATTTATTTTTATTTATTTATACAAGCACTGGGTACAGTCAGAAGCGCGGGAGGGTGAGAGAATTCACCAGAGCCAGAGCGGAGAGCAGAACAGGCAGACCAATGAAGTACACTGCTGAGGGGAGCAGCGGGCGGCAGGAGAGGTCTGCGCGCCATGTGGGACCCTCCTCCTGTGGCCGGGGAGCAGCCGGGGATGGAACCGGCGCTGCAGAGGCTGCGGGCAGCTTTGCAACCCAGCGCTCAACCGCTGCGCCACTGGCGAGGCCCTCCCATATTTTCTAAGCTGAATAATTTGCTTTTGCTCTCTCTGTATGAGTAGATGACGATAAGCTTCATGTATAATTTGGTTATTTTTTCTAAAAACATATAAACCTTTTGGACATTATCACTTTTCAATATATCAGTGGTTTCCAATAAATGTTGTATATTAGATTTGACAAACTATAACACTTTAAAATCATTAAAGGATGGGGTAAGAGTTTACTTTCAGTGCTATCATTGATTCATTATGAATAGCTGGAATTGTAAAATTTAGACAATCATCGATTAAAAGAAAATAAATCTAAACTTCAACCTTGTATATCAGTCTTTAAACAGACATTTTAATTTCTCTATCATCTAGCATTATGCAAATTAAGCTTCAACACATGGCCACTACTTGAAAAACAAAATCAATAGAATGTTTCTTTCAAGGCCGGATTTCTATTTCAAGCAGAACTAGAAAATGCTTCCATCAATCTGATTCTAAGTGGGAATAGACATGAGTAGTTCAATTCTGTTTTCATTTATAGCTGATTGGATCTTATTCCGCATCCTATGAATATTAAATGTCTTCAGAAGCTCTTTGCAGTGATAAGAAGGTGGTCACATATGGAGTTTAGCTAATGAAGCATTACACATAGACTTGTAGACCCTCTAGAGGATGGGATTATCAGCTGTTGGAAGAGGCCCCCCCCTTCATGGAGCTCTTAAACTAATAGGGGTAAGAAGAATAAATACAGTTAACTTCAGTTTGTGGCAACATATGCAGGTGTTCGAAAAGCAGTAAAACGAGATACATGTCCTGGTGCAGGTGAGACTCAGGTGACCTCAGGTAAGGAGGAACACTTGAGCTAACTGTAAAATTCAACTCATTCTGCTCTAAACAGAGAGGAAAGGAAGACAGATCAAGCAAAAAGGAAGACACCTACAAACATAGACAGGAACATAGATGTGAAATCAGTCAATTTGACATCAGGGTATCTTAGGTTGAGCATTGGGTCCCACTGGTGAACACTGGAAGGCACACTTCTAAGACTGGACTTGAATTTTAAAGGCTTGAAGGCTATGGCAAGGGGAGCTACTGAAGTTGCCTTTGTATTTCTGTTTTTAACATGAAAGTAGTATCATTGTTACTGCATAAGATGGATCTGATTGTAAGTTCAGGATAAAAGAAAAAATAGAGGCCGGAAAGTGATTAGGAACCTACTGCTACAATTGTCTAGACATGAAGTAATAAATGACAAAACCAGGTTGGTAGCAAGGAAAAGATAACTGTCAGAACACTACTAAGGGAAGATGCAATATAAGTCAGCAACTGATCAAATACAGGCACTAGGGGTAACAATGTCAAGAATACAAAAATTGGTGTCTGAGAAACAACATACTTGAGCCTTAGAACTAGGATTTTCCCTTTTCCTCATCTATTTCCAAAGATGCTTGCTCTACTTATGTGACATTTGCTCCCTAATTATCTCCAGGATTTACCTCTTCTCAGCTCCAGTGCTGTGAGGTTAAGATATTTACATTAATCTATCTTTTGAATAGCTAGTAAGTGAAATGGAGATCTCCCTTGCATGCTGACCTACATCTCCCCAATTCCCTCCCCCAGAGGCAGACAATCTATTTCGTGTAGATGTGCAATAGGCATTTTCACCCTAAATATGACATGAACAAAGCAAAATCTCTCTCCGTATATGCACACACATACACACACACACACACTCACACTCATTTTTTTCCCCCTTTTATATTCTTAAATGGTTAATGGCAGCACCACCTAATGATTAGAATTTACCAAATTACTACTAGGTGCCAGGCAATATTTTAGGCAACTGGCATTTATTATCCTTACCCTCACAAGAAGTTTGCAAATAATTATTTTACAGATAAGAAGCAAAACATAATGATGCTAATAGCTTACACAAATTCACACAGTCAGTAAATAGTAGATATGGATTTGAATACAAAATGCAGGTGGTTCTCAATATCACTTGCCGCCAAGCTTAGAATCATCCCTAATTTCACTATCCCTTACTCTCACTCAGAGCCACCCATGCCCCTTCCCCACTTCTAGGAGGAATTTGGCCATCTGAAAAGGATCTGATTCCCTCTCTCCACCAATTTCCCATTCAGGAAATGTTGCTAAATCATAAATCTGGTTACATAATTTACCTGTCTCAAAGTCTCGCGTCTGCTTACAGGATAAATATCAAATATTTTAGCAAACAAGATATACTATACTTTTCATACTGAAAAGTATGACACATATCTCCAGTCTCTTCTCCTAGCACTTAGCCTTGCCATGTCTCTTATACTGAAGGAATACTCTATTTTGCTAGTTGAAACCCTTCCCCAGGTACCTAGAGTATTCCAGCTTCTATTTCAATTCTTAGCAAGCCCTAGCCCATCTCCCTATGGTTTCTGAAGATACCCTTGCATCTTTATAATGAATCCTGCTCCCTTCACTCACCCCCAGCACTGCCCCTTGTCCCCAACCTTTGTTGTTGCTGTTTTTAGCTTAAGTCATCTGGAATGAATTTCCAAAACTCCTAGACCTAGATATAACTTCATTTCCCCCTTGACACTTGCAGTGACACCCACAGTCAGGGTTAACTATTCACCCCCTTCCCCTTCCCCCCATAGCCCTCAGATCTCTATTATGGAGTTCATCTTACCCCACGAGCATTATTTCTGTTCATGAAATTTTTCTTTCCAACCTGTCTCCCCTGCACAAGTCCTCTCAACAGGACAGGTATAACTTGCTTAGGATGTATTCTATTCTGTGCCATAATATAGTATGTGTTTGATCAATATTTTGTCTGATTAATTATTCATTTTTAATTCCTTAGTAAAGTATACAGTACACAGTAGAGGCACACTCAATTTATTTGTCAATGAATGGAATTTCCTGCTTTAAAATAATAAGCATTAAATGTCACTTCTTAATTAACTTTCTCCCTTAATTTCAGTGACATACATTGACTCATCTGCCCTCCCTCCATTCCATCCATTATAAGATCCTTTTTAAATCCCTTCTCAGTTATATGAACAGACTACAATGAATCAGAAATTTCTAAAACTGGTTTAATAACCCCTTAAAACTCACAGAAAATGTTTGATTTTATCATTAGCTCTTATGTATTATGTTCTATCATTTTAATTCCTGAAAGCTATCCTTTCTTTGTCTTGTTAGCATCATCGCTTGTTTCTTTAATAGGAATTATGTTATGAATTTAAACAAATTTAAATAAGGTAGAGAGATATTTAAATAACAAAATACAATAATTACACAGCACTTTAAAATTTTATATATTTTTTTAAATTTTAAAATGATCTTTAATGATAAAAACATAACATTTTCAGATAAACTTTTGTTCTAAGGCCACCAATCAACTACTTTATTTAATATTAAGACTTGTGCAGTAATTATGTACTAGCACTTAGAAGTAAAATTATGCTAATACGCATGGTGTTATTCAAATGTAAATATTGAAAATAATTTGTAACCCCAAACACACATTTCTACAGTTCTTCCTGTCATCATCATGACTTTTGCATCAATCATGCTAATTTTCATAATTACCTGCTGTTCATTGTATGTATTCAATGTGAAGAGTGGCTTTTGAAGAATAAACTCTTCTTCAGTTCCAATCCCCATTCTTGCTTTTGATGCCATGGTACCTGACATCATTCTAACAGGATCAAATTGAGCGACAATAGCAACCTAAAAGAGAAAGCATGGCTACTTGGCAAGATATAAGGTAAATAGTTCTGTGCAACCACATTAATGTTTAATGTCCATTCAAGTTTAGATACTTTATTAAAAATATAACCTAAGAGGAAAAGGAAGAAAAAATTATCAGACTAGGCCAGTTCTAAAGGTATACAAAGTAGTTAGTTGGTTTAATAACAAAACATATTAAATGGCTAGGATATAGAATTACTTATGATTTTATAATTAGTTATGATTAATTTTAGATTAAAAAAATCTTTCTTATACAGAATATAGAAAACCTTAGCTGGAAAACTTACAAATTCAGCCCACCTGAAGATAACAGAAAGTAGAAAACTTTTTTTAACCACCAGGTATCTATGACTGTGGTCTTGTAGAAAGTCTTCTAGAAAATTTAATCTGATCAAGATGAATCGAGAACATATGGTTCATGGAGAAAGTCCAGTGTATTGACAAGACAACTTGGTTTCCAGGGAATGTTTTAAACCATTGTAATACCTTTTACTGAAAAACTGCAGAATCATTTTAACCCAAATGCCCTTGTCCTTTACGATAACTGAAATCATTCAAACCTGCATCCTAATGAAAAGAAGCCACTAATTTTGTAAATTATATGCACCATTAGTAACACCTGCCTGCTAATTCCTAAAGTCAAGAATTAGCATTAAGAAAATGGCATTTTTAATGTTGTTTAGAAAATAATGACATAACTGGGTGTTCAACATACTATAATTATTATAGGTTTTCTAGCTAAAATGTCTTACATTGTAGTTCTAAACACTGGTTACAGATAATGGGCACAGATATTTCCTTTTTCAAAGGTTTTGCAGTTGGAAAGAATTCTAATCATACAGACTCTAGTTATCAGCATTATATTTTGAATAAGAATGGGTTGAGTAATATTACCATTGTTTTGGCACCAGAAGTCCTTGTTATATAATTATTTGCTAATAATTTAATAAAGTTTATTGAAACTAGCATGGCTAGGACTTACATTCCTGTTTTAAATTTATGTTTGTAATTTGTTTTAGGGGAAAAAATGTTATAATAGTTGTACACATTTACACTTCATCTATATTATCTCATTTAACTCGACTTCCTTGGTTTGAATCTAGTCTGCCATTTACTAGCTGTGTGACTTTGGTGAAGCACCTAACATCTGTGCCTTCTCAGTGTCCTCTTCTATATAATAAGAAAATTAATAATATGCATCAGGGCCTCCCCGGTGGCGCAGCAGTTGAGCGCTGGGTTGCGAAGCTGCCGGCGACCTCTGCGGCGCCGGTTCAATCCCCAGCTGCTCCCCGGCCACCAGAGGAGGGTCCCACATGGCGCGCAGACCTCTCCTGCCGCCCGCTGCTCCCCTCAGCAGTGTACTTTGGTCCTTCTGCCTGCTCTGCTCCCCGCTCTGGCTCTGGTGAATTCTCTCACCCTCCCGCGCTTCTGACTGTACCCAGTGCATGTATAAACAAAACAAACAAACAAATAAATAAATAAATAAAAACATGCCTCTATAAAAAAAAAAAAAAAAAAAATTAAAAAAAAAAAAAATAATATGCATCATAGGACTGTTGTGGAGATAACATGGACTAAAACAGAAGAGCATTTAGAACAGGGTTTTACAGTTGTTGAATACTGAATAAGTGTGATCGTACATTACTACTAACCTATGAGGCAGATACTACTGTTATTCCTATTTTTCATATGAGGAAATTTAGAATATGAAGTAAAAGATTTATGTCTCCTCTGACAGTAAGTATCCAACCAGGTTTACCAGATTTGAAGAGCAGAAACCAAATTTTAATGCAAGAATGTATGCTGCCTCCACGGACATAGAAGGGAAACCAGACGGTCACTTTCGCTCAGCTTGGAAAAGGAGCCAAGGAGGACTCTAGAGTTCTGAGCTGTGTTAATCACTTCCAGGTTAGAAATTCCGAGAAATTAACAAGTAAAGCTATCTTACAATATTTCCCAACTTCTTAAATTCCTGCTTTTGCCATCTTTGTCTACTTTCAACTATTTGTGCCCAGGATGTTTTTATTTCTCCACAAAAGTAGTATCTTTTAATTGTTGCTTAGCAAGGTGATTGCCTGTGGGATAGTTCTAAACGGAGGTTCCTATCCTAAAGAGGATTATCTTGCTCGAGTTCCACCAAGTTATTTAAAAAGAGTAAAATCCTTTGGAAGAGGCTTAGTTTCAATGCTGTAAGTGGATATTAATAAACTAATAAACTAGAGGTAATATTGGTGCATTTAAATCTTGAGAGCACTTTTTAAAAGGTGCTGATAAGGTTCATTTCATATACTGAGAAACTGGAAATGGTTCAACCTAAATCTCATTGCTCGTAGGAATGGAGATCAGTGTCCCCATTTGGAAAAGTTACGTTTTATATAGCAGATGCCATGAACTAAGTCCTATTAATGTTATTTAAGAGGACATAGTAACATTTTCTGAAACCACCGATAAAAATTTTGAAATTAAAAACACCTGTTTCCTAAGGGCTTCTAGGCGCCGTGCTCTCTCTTCTTCTTCATGTGCTTCTTCAAGGGCCACTGCTTTTTTCTCCATCAAACGCTTTTCCAACAATTCTTGCCTATATTTAACCCTTTAAAAATAATGCACAGGGAAATTAGGACATCATTGGCTTTAGTGTGGAGATTCTATGGATGGGAGCATAAGTCAGAAGGCATTACAGAGGTGACATCTCTACCATACTTGAACAAAATCCAATAACTGACAATAACGCTAGTTACGATGGCTGTTGTGTCAGCAACACTGCAGTGATAGGGAGAAGAAACAGGAGCCGTGGAGCAGGTTGTAAGATGCAGGATGTTGCTAAAGAGCAAGCACCTGGCCTTTTTATTGATAGAAAAGGGTGAGTCAAACAGAACACTGGATTTTGGGCTTTAGGGAGGGTGAATCCAATGATATACACCAGACTCCCACCCATGACTCCAATCTTATTTACTAGGCATTCCACTGATCAGTCCCTCCAGTGCAGAGCACATCAGTCACTGGCCTCTGGGCATTCCCCATCATGCCTCAGGATGCATATCTATTGCCCCAGGGTGATGAAGCGTCCTGCTCTTGTCTAACTTGAAAGGAAGTCTATATGCTACAACCACAAATTGCAGGTTACAGGGCAGGAAAGTTTGGGATAAAATCCAACCCAACTTTTTCTTCATTGAAATCATTGTATTAACTCTCAAACTTTCTGTCAGTGGCCACAGTTGCAGCTTTTGCAACTCAACATAGGAGTCTCACTCTTATATGAGCTAATACAGCAGTTTTCTGATATACACTTAGCACAGCTTGAGCTGTTACAAAGGCTATATGATTAAATGTACACACTTTTAGAAAGAGTAAGTTCAATACTAGTAGGCTGGTTTTGTCTCGATTACTATAACTTAAACCAAACTATATTGCCCCTCATTTTGGGAAGAATGTCCTTTCTGGGTGGACAGGCATTAAGAAACTTAAAAATTACTTTGACTGTAGATGGCAGCAAAAACAAGACTTTTCCTTAGCCTTAAGTTTCATCCCCTTTAAATCAGCAGATAGCAAAACAGAACACATTTAAAACCCCATTTTAACACCCACTAGCTCATTTGGGGTTATTCTCGCTTTTCCGGGCAGCCCCCTTTACCATTTTCTTGCCCAAGTTATTCTATTGAATTACAGAGATGGGAACCAGCTTTTCCCGAAAAAGTAAGCACACGGGTACTTGAAGGAACGTGAGACTGTTGCCTTCTCTCTTCTCTCATTGATGGTTTAGATTTATCTTCATTTATAATGTTGGTTGCAGATATAATTGGCTCTTAGTGTGCATACCTGCATTTTCCATGGATGTGTCTTCACTAGACCCTTTTAATGCTGGATCCTGACTTTACTGAAGTGTCTTGTGCTAAGTACTTTACACATTTTTAACTCACTTAGGCATGACACAGAGTCCTATTTTGGGGGTGCCATTATTATTTTTTTTTCTGATAATTTGTTTTTATTATTACCTTTTACCTCCTGCCTTTCATTTGAGTAAGTTCCAAAATGACAACAGTTTCTTTCCTTTATAAATTATTATTCACCATGTACCTCCAGCCTCTACAGTAGTGCCTAAAATACAGGTGATTGATAAATATCTTTTTTGAATGATGAGATGACCAACATCATAAAGGCCATATATGACAAGCCAACAGCCAGTATCATTCTCAATGGTGAAAAGCTGAAAGCAATTCCATTAAGATCTGGAACAAGACAAGGATGTCCACTTTCACCACTGCTTTTCAATATAATACTGGAAGTCCTAGCCAGAGCAATATGACAAGAGAAAGACATCCAAGGAATCCAAATAGGTGCCATTATTGATCCCATTTAAAGGTAAAGAAGTGGAGGCATAGACACATGATATATATCTTGAGCCAGATGCCAAGCCCAGACAGCCAGACAGCAGAGCCCTGTTCACCCCTCATCTGTCCAACCACAGGCAATTAACCCTGCTGTTCTTTCTTCTCCCCTTAATTGCTCCACTCACTTCACTATGATTATCTACTGTGTGCACAATCCTGGGCTAGATAATGTGAGGACACAGAAAAAAGACTGCCCTTAAGAAGTTTGTAGTTAAAAACAAATAACTTTTAGACTACAACTTTCAACGGTTAACAGAAGGGAAGGGGAAAAAGAGGCGGGCAAATTTGGCCAAAGGGAACAGTTGTTTGCTGAAGGATAGAATTATACTTCGGTGGTACATTTAATGTAGTGTAAACACATTGCTTTTCAATGGTGCACACATGAAACACGATGCTTAATGCTATGTTACATCAGTTAGTAGCATCTACAAAAAACCAAAACATTCAGTTTCAAAAAATAATTCAGTGCATTGGGCCTCCCTGGTGGCACAGCGGTTGAGCGCTGGGTTGTGAAGCTGCCCGCAGCCTCTGCGGCGCCGGTTCGATCTCTGGCTGCTCCCCGGACACCAGAGGAGGGTCCCGAATGGCGCGCAGACCTCTCCTGCCGCCCGCTGCTCCCCTCAGCAGTGTACTTCGGTCCTTCTGCCTGCTCTGCTCCCCGCTCTGGCTCTGGTGAATTCTCTCACCCTCCTGCGCTTCTGACTGTACCCAGTGCTTGCATAAATAAATAAATAAATAAATAAATAAATAAATCTTAAAAAAAAATAATTCAGTGCATTTAATCATAAAATTATGAACCTTACTGCAAATAGGTATTAAAAACAAATATTTGATATTTACTCTCTTACACTGCATAAGTATTAACAAATGGAATTTTTTTTAAAAAGACATTTGTAAAGGTATAAATAAGGTCTACTAAGAATGTGAAGAAAGGTGAGATGATTCCTTGCAGGTTGCGAGAAAGACCGTAGGACTTGGCAAGATATATAAGGAGGTGGCAGCATATGCGCTGTGTCTTCAGGATTGGGATTGAGAGAGGCAAGGCGGCATGCCAAGTTGAGGAGGAGGCCTGCCTTCCAGGTAGTGAGAACAGGGCAAGGGCGAGCCAAGCGAGACACTCACAATTATGTAAGTGCAGGTGTGGCATCTGTGAGGGGGCAACTTCTTAAATTTTGCCTCTTGGGCACCTCTCTTGCCTCTCCCTAGTCTTGGGAGGGAGTTGGTCAGAATGGTTAGAACAGAGTGCACAAATGTGCAGCTGCAGAGAAAGAAGCTGTATGGGGAACCAGTTGCAGTTGGGCAGGTTCATGGTGGATATGGGAAAACGGATAAAGGAATCTTGGAGCCCTTGATAGATCTGACAGGCCTTTAATGCTGAAGCAGGGAATTGGACACACCAACAGACCAGCAGGCAGGGAGGCAGGCATGAGGGAGCGAGGGAAAGTGGGAGGCAGGTAGCAACCAAGCCTTCCAGCCCCGAGTTCTCCATACCCCCTGTCTAGCTTCTCTTTCTCTCCCCCTTGATGATCTCCATGCTCTCTCCACACAGGCATCTGCAATCACAGCATGCCCCAAGCTCATGCCTCTAAGCGCTCTTTTACAACAACACATTATCAAGTGTGGGCAAGGAATCCTGGGTGGGAAAGCAAGACCACAGGTGGCAGCCATAGAGGCTAGGGGTGGGAAGGCACAAAAATAGCCTGAGCCACTCCATTTTCCCTACTGAAATCCCAGGAAATTACTGGCAGACTGAACTTGCAGTCACATGGTCCCCTCAGAAAGATTTGTTTCTGGGGTGGAAAGCTCTTTTAAAAGAGGTTGCTCCTGAGTCTGGCACTGAAGCAGCAGCAGCACCGGAGAGGAAAGCAGGGAGTATATGATACATTCTTGTAGAGTACAAAATCCAAAATGGGCCTTAGTAGGAAAATCCTAAGCTCCTTTGATGGGCATGCCTGTCCTCTCTGTCCTCTTCAGTATCAGGAGTCAGAACAGCCAGACATACAGATTGAAGAGCCCACAGTCCAGATTGCTTCCTTCCTCTCTGTCTCCTTGTCATGGAAAGCTTTACTTCTCATTCTCTCCATTTTCACTAAGGCATGACACAACCTCTATTATGAGGTTCTTCCCAGTTTAAGCAGTGAGTACAAGCTAAAGTGAACTACTGTGAAGTTTCGATTAAAAGATACCCTGGGATTTGACAATTACTATATGCTAATTCTCAGAACCTTTGGAAAGTTTCTCTTCCTTTGGGATATATAGGGTGCTTTGTCTGCAACAAAGTTGTGTCTCCTTTGTGGAAAAGTAATAGTTGTTTCGGTTAGGGGAGCTTGGCTAATGAAGAAGAAGTTACAGATGTAAATAAGGCATCTATACCTGGGTGGTGAGGAAGGATGGCTCCTAATTTACTTTGAGGATAATTAATTCATTTAGCAAATATGTATTGGTCACCTGCTATGCATCAATCATGCTGCTAGGTGCTGGAGTTACAATTTCCACCTAGGAGATATGCAGTTGTCCTCACAAAACTGACAATCTAATAAGCATACAAAGATGCAGGCAACTTTTTCCTGAATTGTCTTCATTTGGAATGACTGAGCATGAAGAATGTGAGATGGGGAGTGCAGAGCTGAAGGGGTCAAACTGTAGGAACTTAGCAAGCATGAGGGCTTTTGGTCAGGAAAAAGCCGTGATTAGAAAATCCCTCCTGTAAAATGGAGGATGAATTGTAAAAAAAAAAAAAAGGCAAGACCAGAAAGTTCTTGTAAGGCCAGGACCGGGCACAGTGCAGGTTTTCTGATCCCATGCAGACCGGGTAAAAGAGGAGTCAGAGTCCTCAGTGGTTTTGCAGGTCTTTTATTGGGGGTTCACCAGGCATATGGCAGGCAGGGGTGCTGGCTGGGGGGCTGGGAGGCCTGCCAGCCTCCCAGCCCCCAGCAAGTCTTCATTCTATCTGGGCTCTCTGGTGATCTCGGCTTCTCTTCGGCTTCTACTGCTGCTCCTGCTGCTACTGGTGCTGCTGGCGTCCCCCCGTGACGCCGCCCTTAAAAGCATAATCTTAGCTCAGCTGAATCCCATCTACCTCTGCCCACACCCTATTCCAGGTGCCCGCCATCAGGCATGCATTCAGGACAAGGATCCATCATCTATCCTGATGGCGGGAGGGCAGAAAAGCCTGATATTTTCTTTACCCTACAGTTCTCCA